CAAGCATCAAATCAAAGATAGGGAGCATCCCGTAACTTATCGCGGCCGTCAGAGTCGTGATAGCCCACTGTTTTTGTGCAGAATAGGATGATTCTGAGAACACAGAAGCCGCATTTGATTCCTCTATACTGCCGTTTGTGAGTGTTAAGCAAGAGCCCCCTCTAAAATACAAAGCACAACTTCCTTTGTGCTGTCTTTTCGTGGCGTGTGGCCCTGGATGAACAGTGAGATAACAGGCCGCCAGGCGTGTTTGGACGTGCGGTCCAGGGGAAGGCAAAAAGGGTTCAAAGTGCCAGAATCCTCCATTTGCGGCCGCACCAAATGCAGCTAAGTAAGCTTGCTGGCAAGAGCCTCCGTTTACCTAAGCACAGTGCTTCTCTACGCCTGGACTGGTTTGCTAGCGAAAGCCAAGTGAGGTGCGAAACCTAGAGGACTTCAACTAACCTTCATCCAGTACAGCATAGAGCAGGAAAATGCCAGCAAACGTGGTCACGTGCCACGCGAATACACGCCAAAAGTTGCGCAAAACCTGAACATAAAAAGGCACGCGCTGACGCGTGTGCACAAAGCAAAAGTCATAAATGCACTTCACAAACAAAGTCCTTTAGATAAGTGCCCTGACAGTATCAGTAGTCCCGCAAGGGAGAATGCATGTTTTCCGGCTAAGGTATTGCTACTTCGAAGGCCTGTATATTGCAAGCCACCATCTGAAGCTAGGCTGGCCTGCAAAAGCACTGGGTAAGCCTCACTTGTGCGTAACTTCTGTGCTCTACGAAAGTTTTGATTCCAGATCCAGGCTTTGACGCTGAGGAGAGTTCAGCTACTACAGCGTTCAAGCTTTCACGGGATACGGACAGTCCCATTGGACAGTTCTTGGGTTGTGGCTTTTGGATTGGCTTTGAGGCAAGCTGATGGTCTGAAAACGGCTCGGTGTCAGCTGAAGGATGTATCACTTGAACTGTCTGTGCTATTTCTTGTGCAGAAGCCTCCGTCTCTTTGGTGAATCGGTGAAGGATGTCGAGGCACTGGCGGCTCCAAAACAACTCGTTGAAGTCGTCGTAGATCAGTCGTGCATTGTGGTCAGGGGTGCGCAGAGAGGATGCCATGTACCTAAATTGAATATAAGTGGCACATCAGAAGCTCGCATTTCACGAAAAATGGCAATGTTTACTAGATAAGGCATATCTACTGCGCCAGTTGAGTATGGAGGGGATCTGCATTGGGTATTGGTGATCTTCAGAGCTACCATTGTTCATCTCGGATTCGTTGAATAACGTCGCGGATCAGATCGACGAAATCCTCTTCAGGTCTGTACTTCTTGTCCCACGCCATACAAAGCCAGTGAAACAGCCAGCACAGGAGCTCAGGTGTGTGGCGAAGGTTTGCCGCCTCTGCCCAAAGCAGCTTAAACGTGGCGACCTCAAACATCATCTGCTGGATATCTTGACGCATCTGTGAGGAACAATTTTTCGCTGTTGGATTCCCTGCATAAAAGAAACAGCTGGTGCATGGGCAGTTATTTGCTAGAAGTATGAACACGTTGTTGTTACTTTTCATTCGTTTCACTAGCCGTTCTACGCAGCTGACCTGTGCTGTCGGCAGCCTCGCCCGCTGCCACGGAAGTGTCCTGTGCACAAAAGCTGTCGTCGAGCCACGGGGGAGACCTCCAGGGGAAAGGCTCAGCCCCCAAGTAGTCGCACCATTTGTAATAATTCGCGAACAAACGCGAATGATACTCATCGAGAGAAGCGAGTAAAATTTCGGGTCCTAGGAGTGGGCTGCCAGGTGGCACTTCCATCAAAGACAAATTCAAAATGCTTACACACACGTCCTCCAGCTGATTGTACATGCTGTCTGTTTGAAACCTGTATTGCATCTTCACCACGTACCAAATAGTCTGCTCGATTGTATAAGGCGGTCCTCGCAGCGCCCCCGCCATGCACACCTTCTGCAGCAGAAACGCACAAACTGTGCAAACATCGTGTTTCAGGTGCCCCTGGCCTCAATCAGGATGTCGTACACATCCGAAATAGGCCGTACATTGTAATCCTGGAGGGTTTTCCTGTAATCATTCGTAGGTACTCCGAATCTTTTGGCGTAAAAGCGCGAATCCGAACTGCATAAGAACACGAGGATTTCGAGCACATAACGGGAAAGGAGGCTGTTGTTGTTGTTGCATGAGCTCGATTGGTCACTTGGATGCTCTTGTGCTTTTTCTTCCACATTTCGGCCGAGGGGGATGTAGTCCAGCAGGCGACTCCGATGCAGGTCTCTTCCGTCAATGTACAAAATGTTCGCCTTCACCAGGCGATCGCGTTCCAGGGGGTTCGCCCCTCCCCTGACGCCAACCGTTTGAGGCCTTCCCAAAGGCTCCATTTTCGCTTTCAACCCCAATCACAAGAAGGTCACTTCTTGCCGTCGCCGAGCTGCACATGGCTGGCGGGTCGGTTGAGATAATTGTCGCGGCGCGCCCATAGAGTCTGCGGCAGATCCGAGGCAGAAAGTGCTTGAGCTTTTGCTTAAAATCGATTAAAAATTCAACACAGATGTCACGTCTTAATATGCTGCAGTTTATGACGTCAACTTCAAATACAAGACCCTGCCTTGCCAGCGGAGACGACAGCCTCTGAAGTAGCGCCGTCTCGCCTGTCTCCAGGTATCTTGATGCTTCCTCAACCGCAAAAGCTTCGACCGAACTGTGGAATCCGATGAAAAAGAATATCCTGTGTTCGGAAAGTACTAGTTTGCTCGAGCCATGGGCTGCAGCGTGTACTTGTCGGCGAGCGCGTGTGAAGCCTTTAGCCCCACGGTCGTCGAGCAGAGGCCCCCGTACTGGTACCGTTAGTGTCTTTCGCTTTATATGGGGGGAAACGCCTAAGTACGTGGGTAAATTGCATCAAAATACACAACTTAATAATTGAATCACCTAGTGTGCTGTGGTATTCACGAATAGGCACTGCTGGGGTACTGGAAACGAGAGCACGGCCGGGTGACTCGCCGAGACGGGAGAGCGCGAATTCGATCGAAGGCCCCTGGAAGTCTCTAACGGCC